ACGATCATAATTCTATAATTGCAGAATTATGATCGTTAAGATTCTTAACGATCATAATTCTGCAATTATAGAATTATGATCATTAAGAATCTTAACGATCATAATTCTGCGATTATAGAATTATGATCATTATGATTCTTAACAATCATAATTTTGCAATTTCTAAAATATGATCGTTAAGAATCTTAACGATCATAATTCTACAATTTCTGAAATATGATCATTAAGAATCTTAACGATCATATTTCAGAAATTGCAGAATTATGATCGTTAAGATTCTTAACGATCATAATTCTATAATTGCAGAATTATGATTGTTAAAAATCTTAACAAATAATTGCTAATTAATCTTTAGTCTTCAATATTTCCATTTTAACTACCATAAAGGTATTGAAGAATCTTAAATATTTAACTTAAAATTTATGTGTACTTGTAGAGTTTTGCAAAAATGTTAATGATTATATTTAAATAATTCATAGTATTCTATAATATTTCCATTATCTTATTGTTTAATATTATTTAATATAAAAAAATAAAAAATAAATCTATAAATTGTTTGAAGTCATATTGAATTAAAAGGTATTTAATTTATATATTTCTTTATACAATCAATAAGTTATTAAATTTAATCAAATTAGTATAGTTAAATATTGATATTTATTAAATTTCAATTATATAAGTTAATTTAAAATCTATAATCTATAAATCGTACTAATTATATAAATTTAAAATCTAAAATCTAAATTATATTAATTAACATAAATCGTACATATAAAATAAGGCTAATTATTTATAATAGTGTTGTTGTTGTAATATATTTAGTTATGTTGTATATGTGATGTGATTAAACTAATGAATGACATATAGATAAATGACATATTGATAAATAAGTAACACATATATGAAAACTATCGAATGACATAAAATTAAAAGTTACGAATGATTTATATATAATATGATATGTCATTTATATCATATCATATACATCATTCATCACTTTTAATTATATGTCATTCGATAGTTTTCATATATGTGTTGTTTTATTAGTTTAATCATATATATTATTTGTAATAGTCATTCGATAGTTTTTTATATACATATTGTTATTTATTTACTAGATGTCATTCGATTAGTTTTTTTATATATATAATAATATTTTAATACTTGTGTTTAAAATTTATTTTTAATTATTATCGTCTAATGGAAGGTTTAAAAAAGTTTGCGAGCAAATTATATTTCTATGATAAACCCGAACAAATTCCTATCGAATATCAATTGCAAGATTATTGTATCATCTGCAATAAAGAAATTTCGTCCGATCTATACGAACCCATTATTATATGGACATGCAAGCATCTTTCTCATTGGTCATGCATGATTAGTAAAGACAGGTGTCCCTGTGAAAATGAAGAAGAAATTGAAATTAGTGCAGATGAAAATGTAGAATCAGCTGCAAGAGCGTTAATGCAGTTATCACAAGATGATACAAGTAATTATATTATTATTAAAAAAATAATTCTAAATTCTCATAAATAGAAGAAACCGAAACTAACATATTATATAATTTAACTCAAAAATTTTTTAATTCTTATGATTTATAGACGCTTTTGATTTGGAAGGATCCAACAAAGAAATACGCGAATTAACACCAAAAAAAAATGAGCCAAAAAAAAATGAGCTAAAAAAAAATAAGCCAAAAAAAAAAGAGCCAAAAAGAAATGAGGCAATATGCCAAAAGTAAGAAAATTTTATTTAATAATTAATTAATTATATATAATTAAACCTAAACTTATAAAAGATACTAAATAATTTTATTTTATTTTAGTTCAAGAAATTTCCAAGCATCAAATGATACAAATATGTTATACGATGAAAGAATTGATGAATGATCACCTGATTTCCAACTCACTGACGATAGTGAGGAAACAATTTCGAAAACAAATTCTTCCTCAGACATGGAACTATCTCTTTTAAAATCGAAACAATCTCAAAAAGAGATTAATTTAGTCTCTTTGGAACCTGATTCACAAGAGATTAATTTAGTCTCTTTGGAACCTAACTCACAAGAGGTAAAATATTTTATTGTACTGCTTACTTCACCGACAATCATTTCACCGAAAGTTCACTTAGCCGACATCACATAGGGTTAGGATTAGCGTTTTATTAGTTGCTGGTATATATTATTAGTAAATTGTTACTTAACGTGATGTCGGCTAAGTAAGTTGTCGGTAGAGGTGCGATCCATTATCCATTTTCCTATTTAAATTTATAGATATCTGTAAATTTAAATAGGAAAACGGATAACAGATCGCACCTCTAGCTGTCAGTAAAGTGAAGTGAAATGATTGTAGTAAGGCAGATTCAAAAAAAATTATATTTATTAACATTAATAAAATTTTTTTAGAGTCAAGGATCTTCAAAACAGTTGCCAAACTATCCCGTATCGGCTAAACAGTTGCCAAACTATCCCGTATCTTCTAAAAATTCTAATAAGAAGATACCAATGGACGAATTTATTAAAAAATTAACCACTGCCTCATCTGACAATATGTATGTGTTTGTAAATGAGAGTGCTGAAGAAGATTCTATTGAAGAAGATTCTATAGCAAAAAAATTAGCTCAATTATTCGCAACGGCTTGTGGCAGTGAAAGTGAACTTCAACGAATTAAGCAAATAGAAATTCGAGATTGGTATAACTACGCTGAAGTATTTGAAAACAGAGTAAGTGAAATGATGGCCAATGGTTTTGAAGACCATACTGCACGAACTGCAATATATGATGAAATGATGCCATTAGTTTCGGGCGTCACCCGGAAGAACTTGCGCCAAAGAACGCATAATGCTCGAGTAATTTTTAGATTATTTAGCAATATTGGATTAGATAAAATCCAAAATATTGATTATAGTGCAGATGCTATTTCATATTATACTATCGATGATATTAATATGATTATTAATTATGTAAAACAATAATTAGCTTTAACTATTGTATGTATTAAATTGCTTATATTTGTTAAAAAATGCTATTGAAAAACTTTCGCTACTATATTAATGTATTTTAAAAAATTTTATAAAGTTCTAATTTATTATTTCTACTGTTATTAAATTTAAATAATCAATTAGTATAGGTATCAAAATATCATACACCCAAATGTCGCAAGTCCCAAGAACCATTACAATGGATTGATCGATAAACAAATTAGGGTTTATTGTAAGAGAATAGCTGTCAAGTATAATGTCAAAAAATTTTCAAGGTAAAAATAAAATTTATTACAATCGATATATTTTGTGAAAAAGATAGCTTTCCCTATAAGTTAACATTTAAAAATTTTTTTTTAACATTCAATTTCGATAATAAAAATATAACCTTTGGATAATAAAAACCATAATACATTAACATTAATAGTGCTAAGAATTTGTATCTACAATTACAAATTAATTGGTATTCTTTTTATACAAAAAAAATTTTAATATTTTATTATTTGTCTTTTTACTTTTAAACCGAAAATATTTGAAGTATTTATTTTAAAAATAGCATTTTAAAATTGTCAATTTAATAATAATAATAATGCAAAATTTAAAATTTTAAAATTTTGTAAAGTATTTATTATTTCAATATTCATTTAATAAATTTAATAAATTTAATAAATTTATATACCTACTTAAATTTAAAAATGGCATTTTAAAATTGCCAATTTAATAATAATAATAATGCAAATTTTAAAATTTTAAAATTTTGTAAAGTATTTATTATTTCAATATTCATTTAATAAATTTAATAAATTTAATAAATTTA